TACTTTGGCCTTTTTGACGGCTTCCCATTTCTCGCGAATATTCATGTCCTTAAACTTGTAACAACTCACTATAGAGTGCTCCTTGTTGCATATAACACACTTATGTGTTACCCGACTTACAGGCTTGTCCTGGGTTATCATAACCACTTGTCGGTTGTGCCTTTTATTATTTCGGCGTTCTAAACGCTCGCTCATATTACTTCGGCGCATATAGCGCTCGCTCTCGGCACAGCTGCGTACACCTCCCTTTGCAGTGTGTACAGTTTGCTTCCTGAATTCAGGACGCTTCCTTTTTTCAGGCGCATTTTCATTGCTTAAGGACGTTCCAAATTGTTCACTCAATAAATTTAAAAACTTGGCCATCTTCTGTAACTCTGGCTCCAAAGGATATTGAGCTCGATATTCAAACCATTTAAATTTAATCATAGTTCCAAGTTTCTCCACTATGCGGCTCACTAACTCCGGTGAGTATAAATACTGTGGTTGATTCAACGCTCGTATTGTGGCAACCACGTTCGTAATACGACTTGCAAAAGATCCTATATTTCGGCAATCTTCTGCCAATCTTGGCATACGCTTTACATTCTCGATTTCGGCTAGAATGAGCATCTCAACCCTACCGAATCTTCTTTCGAGAGCGTTCATTATTTCTTCAGGTTCACATAAAGTAAATAACAGCGACTTAACCGCCTCTTTAGCGGTGCCCTTTAATGCCCTCCTAAGGCGTGCGACATTTTGCACCCCTGAAAATTGGCCTTTTGTGTCTTCAAACACCGTTTTGAAAATTATCCATTCACCCGGGTCTCCATCGAACACCGGTAATTCCTGGAGGAAATGAAGCTGGGAAGATTTATCTTTACCAGCTATTTTTATTGCACTCACAATCGCTTCGGTCAATTCTGACACCTCACTCGCGTGTGTTTTCTGTGCATTTCCTAGGTTGCGCTCGACCTCCGCCCCTTTGCGGCGTGATCCTTTACACGCTTCCTTATCAGTAATATCGGGTTGTGCTACACTAACCGGCGCGCTCATTATGGTTTGCTGAACCCAACTCCTTACGAAAGGTTCCACCTGAGTATTCCGCTCTTCATCATCCTCACTCGAGTCGATTTCCTCTTCTCGGTTGAGTCGTGCCAACTCCAATTGAGACTTGGCTAAGGCAGCAGCTGCCTGTGCTCGTTCGAGCTCTGAGCGTTCGAATTTAATCCGCGCCTCTAATTCGGCTTTCAGCCTCGCCGATCGCGATGACCTACTACCTCTCTGTGACCCTTTATCACTAGTGTGCCCGATTACTGTCCTTGACGATGCCGCTTCTTCGGTCCTTTGACCTACTTTTTCGACCACCGTTTCACTCCTGGATATAACGGATTGTTGTGCGGTGCTGGCCTGCGTACCACTGGTGTCCGTCCTGTTGCTCGTCGTTGCCATGGACGTCCCTGAGTCCCACGTGCATGTGGACGTGTCTGTGGTGGCTCCACTTGGAGGAGTTGCTCCATTTGACGCAGTAGCTGTGGTCGCTCCAGGTGATTCCGCTTCTTTAGCTTTTCTTGAGAGCCCTGTCCTTGTCCTGCTCCCTTCGCTTCTCCCTGTCTGGTCTTGTGCCTTCTTCATCTTGCAGGAAGGTGATTGTTGGCCTACGGTCCCTAACTGTCCCTACAGTCCCTACAACCCCTTACCTACAACCCTTCTACACCCCAACCTAACACCACTACCCCTCCCCCCCTTTATCTCCCAACCCTACAACCCTACTACCACCCTAACAGCCCTATCAGCCCTATCAATCCTGAACGGGGCCTACCGAGATGAGCCGTCCAGGGATGGAGTCGTGCAGGAATGGAATGGAGGAAAGGTTTAGGAACTGTCCCGCCAAGGAATATGACGAAACAGTCGAGCGGTAGTGCAAGCGCAGTCTCGCTCGAGAGAACTGCTCCACCCGAAGGTGTTATGCCAGAGCCCAACCGTTTGGCACCGTTAGGTGGTCGGGATGTATGCTGTGCTCGCCGCCCAGTTGCCGGTGACGCCTCGTCCAAGCGCCCTCCTCCGGCCGCGATGCAGTCAGGTGCCCACGCGCACCCTCGCCCGGCAGCAGCAGCGATGGATGCTTTTTGCACCCTGATGACCCGACGGGAAATGCCGGACACGGTCGTCCGACAGGAAATGCCAGACACGATCGTCTGACAGGAAATGCCGAGCACGCTTGCCCGACAGGAAAAATGCCAAGCCCTGCTTGGCCACGATGAGTGCCTTCACAAGACACCTGCGCCCGGCTGCGATACGTGCCCCATGCGAGCACACGCCCCAAGCTGCAATCCCGGTTTTCTTTCTTCCGGTAGTTCCAGGTCCAGCCCTTCAGTGCTGCCGTCCTGGTCTTCAGGCCTTTGGTCCTATTGCTTCAGCTCAAACCTCTGGCTTCCTTCGGTTGCTGATCTTCACTCGGCTTCCGAAGGTCTTCTTCTTCCACAACCAGCAGTCCACAGCTGGTTCCTTGATCCAGCTGGCGGGGTTCGGGTGGTCTTCAATCCGGCTCCGAAGGTCCAATTGAAAAGGACCAGGCTCGGGGTCCTCTCAATCCGGCCGCGAAGGACCAATTGAAAAGGACCAGGTCGGTGTCCCTCTTGATCCTGAAAAGGACCAATTGAAAAGGACCTAGCGGATCGGGTACTAAGAAACAGGAATCGAGGCTTCTCTCGATCCGGCCTCCTATCAAGCCTACGTTGGGTTCGGGAACAACGTATGTGATCTCCGCAACGGAGTAACACACTAGGGCGATAACCTCTTCCTTTTCAGCAAGTAGGTTCAGACGGGGATTACGGGTCTTCCGAAGTCGTCCCGGTCCCGACGCCTTAATTCTTCGATGTGGACTGTATAACTTAAGGGATGAATTACTTGGGAATGAAACAGCAATTATCTTCAAACCGTTCCGTGAGAGAGTAATCACTTTTCCCTATCACTTCCCTACACTTTTTCTTTCTTCTTCTTATTGACTGCTGGTAAGATCCCCGAACGAATTGCAATAAAACCCGTTCACTAAGCTACCCCAGAGCTATACGCGAAAGTGAGCCGCGCCATCTGCGCGCTTGCGCAACTTAATTACATGAATTTGTACTATTACTCTCTCACGTTTCACTCAATATCTTTATTTATTCAAATCATATACAAATACAATTTATCAATATAGGTAGTACAAAACAATATCTACACCATGATATACATCATATCTTCATATCATAAAAAACCTTTTATTTATTAAACGAAAACTGCCTATTTTACTCACAAGTTCGAAATCGAAATTTCTTAAATATTTAACACAGAAAGTTAAAACAATGTTTCTCACTTGAATTTATACATAAGCTAACCAATACAATAGTTTAATTTACATTTTTTCTATTTATTTCACTATTTAAAACACTTTTAAATTTCTTATACAAAACTATCATTATTTCACTTATACACAGGAATTTTCACATGAAAATAACACAGAATTTACCTTTTTAGCACGTACAATTAACCTGAAATATTTTACAAGTAATTTTTACATAAATCACTGAATTACAAACATTTTAAATTTTTACATATTCGGCCTCCTAAGGGCGTGGCCAGCGTGCTTCCGTGTACTCACGCTATGTGAACAACTAACTTTGCACGGCTCTCGGCTATCAGAAAAAATTTAATTATGAAATACACCAATTTTGACCACATTAGGCAAATTAAATGCTTTTATACAATTTTCGAACTGTATGAAACTATCTTTAATCAGATAACAATATAAATGAATGTTCTCATTAATCAATCATAACAAATAGGCATTTGTTTTCGTACAAAACGTATCAAACTTATACAAAACAACATTTATGCAATTAATATCCATTAATTCTGCCTATGCACAGGGTGATTATCTCGACCGGGGAACAAATCCGATCTTTAACTTCACTTTAATATTCTTATGAATTTACATCATTTGAAAGATGATTTCAACCGGGGAACAAATCCGGTAACATAATTTATATCTTAAATTCCTTACGAATTTATTAAGCGATATTACTTAGGAAAACAAACAAACTAGTCCGGCCTGGGAGTCGAACCCAAGACCTTCATATCATTAATTCGACATTTCTTAAAGATTTAACTAAGCATTCTCTTATCAGAGCGTCGTTGCTCGTGACTGCCCCTTTTTTCATAGCGACGTCATCGGTTGATTTAATAAACTGAAACATTTTTATAGGCGCGTCGCCAACACCTATATAATAGTAACAATAAAATTGGTTCTTTGTTTAGGTTCCTTTTTTTGCAATAGAGTTTATACTGGTTTCCAGTAATATGATTAGTGTTCTAAATACAGGAACATATTACACGATGGAGATATTTCCTATTTTATCATAGTGTAGATTGCGTGTACTAATCTGCAGGCGGACTTCACATATCCAACTCGGACTAGACATGTCGAAATTTTTCGTTACCGCCGAGTATGGTAAAACCCGTAATTAAAAATTACAGTGAATAATTTTGTTAATGCCGGCGAGGATCGTATCGCACAAAATCAGGAAGACGCTGCTGTTTTGTTTGCTCCCGGTTTGTTTCCCTCTGTCGTCTTTTAAGTTACCCATATATTATATGACATGGGGTAGTAAATATCATAGAATACTATAATACACAATAGAATGACTCTCAACCTTATTTTGTACGAGGATAGGCGTCGCCGGGAACACACGTAGCAATTACGTAGTATTATCACTGCTACCAACCCGATTCGCTGTGTTGACAGACAGATTTTAATACGTATTTATTTGTAAATAGCCTGCAATTTGGCATTTTCTAAATAATTTGCATGCGAAATTTGGAAACCATTGTAACGTCAAAATACATCTCGTGTTGACAATTATACGTGTGAATTGACGTGTTAGTGACATTTTAGTATGTATGTATATATGTAATTATAGTATTCTGTGGTAAATATTCTTGCATCACGAACTAGATGTTAAGGACAATATGTTTTCTTACAGATGGTAAGTGCGATCAACGAGTCAAAGTATTAGCGCAACCACTGCAGATTGTGTATGATGCACAAACGGTAATAGAGATTGTAAACGTCTTCAAACCGCCTTCTGAATCCACTGCTTTGACGACGTAAGTTTGATTTAAGTACTAAATATGTATATTAGTATATTAAATTGATTCAAGTATTATATCAATATTTTTAAAAGTTATTCATACACTAATAAGTAAAGTAGATTAACGTTCAATTAACTTCTTATTGCTTGGCATAGGCCTCATTTTTTTCTAGATGGTAATGGAGCGGGAAGAATTTACGGCAGAGCTTTAATACGTGTTCGCGTACAGAACGTTGCAATACATTTGTATCGAACGTGCAGGTTTTATACAATGATTAAAAAATGTTTGGCTTTCGCCGCAAAGCACAACATAATAAATTTTGCTCCTAAAATTTAAGCATAGAGTAAACACTTTTTGTAAAATTAAATATAAGGTTAAACACAAATAATAACACATACAAATCAGGAGTCATGCAGCAGTGACTTCTTAATAATGAAAACAACTGCGGTCCTGCAGCTTGCTAAGCGTGGCAACTATGGCAAATATCTTCCTATAAATGACTGCCTTGTTGGTCTAGTGGTTGTAGTAGTGCGACTGCTGATCATGATGTCCTGGGTTCGAATCCCAGGTCGGGCCAAAAAATTGATTATTGAGTTTTTCCGTCAAGAAATTCTCAGTAATTGCCCGGAGTCAGGAAGTTGGCGGTGTCTTACCCCCGTGCCTCGGAAAGCACGTAAAGCCGTTGGTCCTGCGCCTGATCTCTCTCCGGTCGTTTCGGTTTACCGTCCCATCGGATTACGAGAGTGATGAAATAGAGAGTGCACCTGTGCTTACTCACACACTTGGCCACTATAATCCTGTCCTGTGCCGATGGCTAGCCTCCGTTAAGGCAGGCCGCTGTGGCTGAAATTCGGTCTGGAGGACATTATTGTTATTATAGATTAATAAATATGGGAAGCCTATGTTCAGCAGTGGACTTTAATAGGCTCTAACGGTAATAACAAATCTTGTTATTAAACTGTTCTAGCTTACAAGAAGCAGCAGGCAATAAGCTATCTGATTTAAAAGAAAAATCATCACTGGGCATGCAGTATGCAGTGCAGAATCACACATTCATAGATCTGGATATAGATATTGCTGCTTCATATATAATTGTGCCTCAAAGTGGAATGTACAGAGGGTAAGTGAATTGATGTATTATATCTTTAGAATTGTTGAATGTTCACTGTGAAAAACAATTGATTCATTCTTTTATGTGACTGACAAGTTTATTGGAGGCAATTAAGGGATTAAGGGAGGTTAATTGTAAAGTGCCTACAATTTTTTTAACATTTTATGATGAACTGTTATTTTTTTAATAGAATAATGGTGACAAACGAGCACACACTCCACCTGATGGTGAATGGATGCTGTGGCACATAGACATCTACATTTATCCTCAATTAAGAATCAAAATGCATATGCTGGTACATACAGCAATATATATATATATATATATATATATATATTTTTTACTTTTATATAAGACAGCTCTGTTTTCTCCGAATATAATCAAAACAGTTTCAGCAACATGACTTTTGTCTGAACCATTTTTGAGATGGAACACGCCGTTTAGTCCCATAGTGCGGTGCCTTTGACAAGATGCGGCATATGCCAAGGTGGTGCGACATAAAAGCGAACGTATCAAAGTGATCATACTATAATTTAATTTTTTCCTTTTTTTGGTACCAGTATCACACAAAAAAATAAATATCTGGTAATTTTTTAAGCTCTTATAAGCCAGTGCTTGACTACTATCCCACCTGATTGTAAGTGGTGATGTAACTAGAGATGTACCTACGCATACCCGCCTCACGCGTGCAAAGACGAATTATGTCAGACTCGCACCTACTAAAACCACATGCTGTTCATCTTCGCCGCAAACTAGCGGGCCAACGAGAACGTTCTCGCACACATCCTCGGCTTCATCAGCGCTCTCCTCCTCGGGAGAGGCTACCGTCCTTCCTTTTCCTTTTCAGGTTAGGCGTACCAGAACACAAGACGCGCTTTCTTCTGCGGCCTCCTACTAACTCCATCTACGGTTCCAACATTGAAAACCTTTTAGCACGCCCTTTCATTATATCCAAAGCTGCTAGGTGTTGGAATTTTGCAGCACCAGCATTTATACGTGGTAGAGCCATGTTGCAGTTATATTAGAAGTATAATTGTAGCACGAATGGGTCGGTTCAACCGGGGAAGGACCACGCTCTCACAGAATACCAGCGTGAAATAGTAGCTTAACGCTGCTGTTTTTAGTATGGTGAGTGTAGAGAACCGGAAAATCTTTTACTGGAAACGAGGCATTCCATCTTAGTCCTCACGGGCGACAACGCATCTGCATTTTGATCTGTAATCAAGGATAGATGTAGATGTCTATAGGCCGCAGCAACCACTTACCATCAGGTGGACTGTGTTCTCGTTTGTCACCCTATCCTATTAAAAAACTAGCTCCAATCAATTGTACGACCGAAATATAAAATATTAGTTTATGCATACTTTCAGTCATTATTCATCATCATCATTACAGCCCTTCACAAGGCCACTGCTGAACATAGGCCTCCCCCAAGTAATGCCACAAAGCACGGTCCTGAGCCACCTGCATCCATCGACTTCCTGCATGTCTTACCAGGTCGTCACTCCACGAGGCGGCCATTCGAGAACCTTTCTTCCCCATCGGTTATTGGTTCTTCGAGCTATATGGCCGGCCCATTGCTACTTCAGCTTACTAATCCGTTGGGCTATGTCGGTCACTCTGGTTTTACTGCGGATATCCTCATTTCTGAGTCTTATCACGCAGAGAAACTCCGAGCATAGCCCTCTCCATATTTCGCTGAGCGTCCTCATACGGCCAGCGGTGAAGGACCACGTCTCAGATCCGTAAGTTATCACTGGCAACACGCACTAATTATACACTTTAGTTTTCAGAGATTGAGGTATACCTGACGAGAAGATGTGTCGTAATTTCCCGAACGCTGCCCAGCCGAGTTGAATCCGTCGATTGACCTCTCGGTCGAAGTTGGACTTACCTAGTCGGACTATTTGTCCCAGGTAAACGTACTCGTCAACAACTTCGAGCATAGTGCTTCCAACAACTACTGGCATAGGTGTGACATGGACATTGAACATGATCTTTGTTTTGTCCATTTTCATCTTAAGACCTATCCGTCGGGAGACACCATTGAGGTCATTGAGCATATTGCTAAGGTCCTCTAGCGATTCTGCCATAAGGACTATATCGTCGGCAAATCGAAGGTGAGTGATGTACTCGCCATTGATGTTAATACCGTATCCTTTCCAGTCCAGTAGCTTGAAAACTTCTTCGAACGGAGCGGTGAAGAGTTTCGGGGATATAACGTCACCCTGTCTTACACTCTCTGCAGTTGAATAGGTTTCGAACTCTGGTTCTGTACTCTGATAGCCATCGTAGCCCTACTGTACAAACACTTCAGCACTTCGATATACCGACAGTCAACTTGGCACCGCTGAAGTGACTAGCACCGCCCAAATTCCGACGGAATCAAAGGCTTTCTCATAGTCCACATACGCCAGGCATAGTGGCAGATAGTACTCTTCGGTCTTCTGTACAATCTGCCGCAGGGTATGTATGTGGGCTATGGTACTGAGCCTTTTCGGAAACCGGCTTGTTCGGGAGGCTGTAAGTCGTCGAGTACAGCACGTAGACGCGGCTCAGAAGGGAAATCGGTCTGTAGTTCTTCAAGAGAGCGTTGTCGCCTTTCTAAAGAACCACCGCACTTCTGCTCCACGCCTCCGGAGTAGTGCCACCATGAAGGACGGAATTGAAGAGCTTCTGAAGGACTTCAAGCCATTTTAATCTCGCTCAGACTGACGTCCGGGATATCATCGGAATAGTGACGGATAAGACTTGCTCTTGGATTGTTACTCACACTTGCATGTGGCTCCAACAATGATGTGTACATCTGCCCATAGAACCTCTCAATCTCACTCAAAATTTCAGGTGTCCCGGAAACGATGCTGCCACATTCAGTCTTCAGTTTTGACAGTTGGCTCTTTCTGGCAGACAGATCTCTGGTAAAGACTTTGGAGCCCTGGTTCTGCTCGATCGCTTCCTTAATACGAGCATTATTAAAGTTGCGTAAGTCTCGCCGCATGCATTTGGAGATCTGTCTGTTCAGTTGCCTGTATGCTGTCAAATCTGTTGACGATTGCAGTTAGACGGGAGATGACTCCCGTCTAACAGCCATGAGATTAAGAGTGTGATCGGAGAGTTTTTGTGTTCTTCTGCGGCGGGTCTTGCAGAACTTAGCTCCGACCGCATGGACAGTTTCCACGAGCTTGTGATTCATATCGTCCACTGCATTGTAATCTTCTAGGCACTGAAAGCGGTTACTTAACTCGAGCTGAAAAGTTTCGGGATTCTGGATTAGAGTACGAGGGGACGGAGCATTGACTTCATTAGACGAGACCTCTCCAACTTAACGTTTAGGTTCAGTGTGCTTCTAACCATTCGGTGATCGCTGCCAGTTTTCACCCTTGCGATCACTGAGACATCACTGAACAGTTGGCGTCTGGTCGTCATAATGAAGTCAATCTCATTTTTTGTCGAACCGTCGGGGCTCGACCAGGTCCACTTTCTGTGGGGCCGCTTCTTGAAGAAAGAGTTCATCATAAAGAGTCCCTCTTTCTCCATAAAGTCGGCCAGCTGCTGGCCCCTTCGGTTCCGTTGCCCTACTCCAAATTTCCCTACCTTCAGCTCACCATTTTCTCTTGTGCCTAGTTTTGCGTTGAAGTCTCCCATCAACACCGTGTAGTGGGTTTTGGAGGAATGCATGGCTCTGGAGATATCCTCATACATTTCCTCCACCTCCTCATCGGGATGTGCCGAGGTTGGTGCGTAAACCTGTATGACCTTCAGCGAATACCGTTTGGTGATTCTGAGTATCAGGTACCTCGTCGACACACTTCCAATCTTTACAACGTTATTGACGAGAGACTTGTGGACGATAAATCCGACACCTCCTTGGGACAGATGGTCGCCCTCCCGGTGATAGAACAAGTTACCGGATTCGAGAATCATCGTGTCCTCCCCCTCTCTTCCGACCTCGGATAATCCAATAATATGCCAGCGCAACTTGTCTACCTCCTCTTCCAGCTCCAGTATCTTCTCGTCAGTCCTCAGGGTGCGTGCGTTGTATTTTGCCAGGTCAAGTCGTCGTAGGTGGCAACCGAACCTCCACCGGAGATTTTTAGCACCCCCCGCCCCGCCGTTACCATGGTCGCCACCGTAGCCAGGAATAGCGGGGCCGCCGGGGACTGGAGGCAGTTTGTTTGCGTCGTTATTCATGGGGGGATATTTGCCATAGTTGCCAAGCTTGGCGAGCGGGTTGGCCACCGCAGTTTTTTATTATGTTATTGTTGTTATTAGGAAGATGCTGCTGCCCATCTCCTGCCTGTCTCCCTCTGTCGCCTCTTACGACACCCACGGGAATATATGGGGTAGTCGATGTTCTCAACTGCCACTACACGGCCATTATTCAGTCATTATTATTATAACATATACTTTATATAAATATTTTTCCATTGTAATAATATTTTTCTTTCAGCAATGAATCATGTGTGGTAGTAAAACTAGGTGCTATCAGCGTTAAGTCGGAACCTCGCTCGGAAGTTTTAGATGTCCACAAACTTTACAAAGAGGGGCTTGCAGATGAAGATATACTGCGAGAGATAACGCATCACAGCTACGACAAAATGGCACTTAAACTCACCGAGATGCAGGTACAGTTCTTTTACAAAACTGAGTTTAAGGTAGGCACACGTATATTGTGCCGTCAGACTAGAAGTTCACGTAAATCCAAGTGTTTGGCTCAAGATATGCGCAGAAAATTTGTCTAAAAACGTAAATCCAAGTGTTTGGCACAAGATATGCGCAAGAAAATTTGTCTAAAAACTTTTTGGCGTTTAACGCCGTTCTGCGTAAACGCAAACAATTTTTTCTGTAATTTTTACAATTCTATGGGTTTTTTTTTTTGAAAAAAAAAAGACTAGTATACTGATAATTTCTAAGTAAAGGTTAATAATATTAAGTATATCGTAAATTTAGTTAATATAACTCGAAATGTGAAATAGGACAGAAATACTGAAAAACGAGATGGTATACTGTCATCAATCAGAAGTCATGACATCATAGATGAAAGCTATAGATACTCAGACCGGCGATCTAAAGCAACATCAAAGGTGCTTAAGAACATCTGGTACTGCTATCGCTAATCCATAGGCTAATTACAGTAGATTCTTCCCACAATAGGAGAGTTCCATGTCTTGCAATGTATCTGTACCGGGTGGTAAAGGAGAACTCAAAAATTGTTAAAGTATGTTATTGAGGGTCAAGCAAATGAGAATTTATGATATTAGCAGAACAAAACTAAGAACAATGTAATTTTAGGGATGTTGAATTAATGTCATTAATTTTTAGGCAGGGTTCTTTTTTTAATGACTGATGGTGATGTTGATTTTCAGATTGTTGTTGCTACAGCTAAAGAAGAATGGCACTCTGCTATTGTTTCTGAAGTTGGGACACCTATGCATCTGCTGCAGCCCACAAACTTAGTGATACAGATACACAAATGTCTCATCACCGATGACCCTAGGTTACCTAAAATAAAAGTCAGGGGAGAGTTGGAAAAGATTGCTGTTAGTATTTCTGAAGATAGGTAAGCTTAAAAGACATGTTTAAAATATCGGCCTTAGGCTTAGCAGCACGCACTGCGATTAAACGCACGCGTTTAACTGCAAAATAATGTAACACATAGCTTTCTATATAAGCGCACGCATTAGCGACTTTTTTCAGTGACTGATTTTTCTTTTATAAATACGTTACCTCCACACTAGGATTTTCTTCTGTATCGTGGTTTACAAACATAAATTTCACAAGATCAAACATCCAGACCCGGAACAATTACTTATAGACTACACAACTACTTGTTCCGTGCGGAATTCGAACCCATGGCCCTTAGGCGCTGTAACTCATTGCTAAGCCACTATGCCACGGAGCACTCGAATTTTAAAAACGTAACTTGCTACATTTGGATCGCGGTTTGTAAGCGCGCGATTTTTATGTGTCCCACAGTAATAGTATGGCGGCGCACGCACAGCGGTTAACCGCGTTCGGTTTTCATTCAGCTCTTAAGGTGATATCGTCATACGAAATCAAGTGTCTTCATGTTGTAGATACTGGCCCACAGCTTGCAATAATTTATCAATAGTACCAATCGACATTCTGTGGTAATTTAAATAGTTTTCGAGGTGTTGTCGCACGTCGTTGAACATTTTGCAAAAATATCTTTTCAGATGTCTTTGATCTGTTAGTGAATGTACCCAGTAGTTATCACGGCGGCGTTGTTTACTTTTTCTATTTCTTCATTTAAAAACCAAAGCCACAATACATGCTACTCGCCAGAAATCCATGATGGTACTGAAATAAAATTAAGCAAAACGCCAGCCGCAGTACGTGATTGTATGCGATTTTGCGTTTTCAGCTATTCCTAAACCACTCTGTTTAATCGCAATGCATGCTAAAACTTACTCATAAAAATCGACTTAAATTTAAGGATTGCCTAAAATTACTATCTCCCTCTCTTTTCACTAAATGATAATAGAAAGAAACAGGTATAGCGATGATTAATATTTAATTAAGTAAGCGATAGTCAATGGGTGCGTTTGGGAGAAAAAAGCGCTAGCAAGCGCTTACAAGCGCTGAAATAGTTTTCGGCCAGGACACGATTGCTACTTCAGTAGCGCTGACACAATCCGCCATTTTGCTTATTTAATTTGTTTGTTTTGAAGTAGAGTTTTTAAGTTGTTTTGTGCAATATTAGTTTTAAGTAATATAATAACGTGAATAAACATATTATACATGTTATTAAAAATTCATGATTGGTAAGTTTTTAATATGAATACTTTACAAACATATATTTAAATTAGGTTAGGTTCCCCGGTTAAAACTAACATCGTGTCCTGGAGGAAAATAGCTGCTTACGATTTGACAGCGCTTACCGCTTACGATCGCCATTTTGCTTACAAGCGCTTGCTAGCGCTTTTTTCTGCCAAACGCACCCAATGATAATAAGTAAGGTCGTAAATTGTGAATGTGATTTTATATTTCCTAATTTTTTCTCTTATAAAATATTAGATTCCCTTTAGTTTATTGTTTGACCTCACATATGCTTTGAATTGCAATTTTAAGATGAAATTGAAGTTTGCATTGGTTTTTACTCAAGTCTGTTTAATCGATTTCAGATTACTTACACTATGCGAAATATTAGTGAGCATGCCTCTACCACAGTCTGAAGAAACAACTCAGTTGAAGGTACATACCTACTACAAATAAATTAGACTTATTATTTTTTCGATGTTTTATATTTAATTTTACAGAATTTTTGTTGCTTTTTGTTTCTTAATATTTCTTTCTTGTTTTTCTTTTTTGGAAGATATTTTGCTACAAATTCGCCTATACAGTGAGCGGTCAGGTGCTTGAATTCTCTCTCTATAATGAAACATGTCCAGAAAATTTTTTGGTAACTTACTTAAGTGGTTATAATAAATATGTCATTAAAATCAATGTTTTAAGGAGTAGATAGTAGTTTTGTACATGTCATAGTTCAATTAGCATTTAATTATGTATTAATAATTCTAGATAGTGTTTATTTTTATATTGCAAATATTGTAAACTTATAATTTTGCTTAAGTCGACGATAATTAGACACTAGCTCTACGTGGTAAGTATTCAATAGAAAAACGTACAATTTCTAATCATTATACAATAATTATCATCTTTACGAGAGTTGAGGCGTGTTATTGTCAACATTTTAAATCTTACGCAGCAGCTTCACGCTCTTTTCGCGATGTTGCCAATAATATTATAACTTTGTTCACTCACTAATGGGTGATATTTGACATAATTATAGCTTTATTTAGACCTACAAAGTATTATACTATTTTAAAATTATTTTGTTTAGATTCACTTCATTAGTGTGAAGAATCAGCATCTATACAAAATTTAAAATATTTACTATCCTTTTTCTTTATTTATTTTCATATAAATTAACAGTTTTCAATTTCAGGTAACTATTTTGACAGTTATAGTAAAAAAAATGTTCCAATTATTACTAATATCAACTAAACATAAACCTTGTGTTAAAAATTAGAAGAAAAAACTATATGTGTAATATAATAAACAAACTGCCACAAAAGTTGCTTAACACGCTAAAGAAACGGCAATAAGATTTCTTACAATGTGATAGATTCCTTAACTATACTTCCATCGAAATAGTTTAACAGCTGATTCTGAAATGGCAAATGTATGGCTATAGAAAGGTTGTAGAGTTGCAGAATATGGCTATTGCCTGCAAGCACAGTGAAGAAACTTAATGAAGTGACAACCTGATGAGGCATGCATGGAAAAGATGCAGAACTGCTCAATACTGTGCTTTGCAGACATTTAGGGGGTCAAATTTTCAATTTTTGGCCGCAATTTTGATAATGATTATTTATGATGAGTCTGTTAGTCTTATTATCCAAAGATACAACATAAGTTTGATCATTGTTTACAGCCTAGTGATTCAAAGGCGTCAAGTCTATCGTTACTGAAGTACTTGGACCCAGTCGAGAAACAAAAGAGAGATACTGCAAGGTCTAAACAAAGGAAAAATGAAGAACAAACTGTTCAGCTGACTGAAGTTGAAGCATTCTTTATTATGAAAGGTAACTTAATCATGTATTCAGATACAAAATTATTACTTTAGAATAGTAAACTAAGTGACTTATGAAGTGAATAATACTTATGGCAGAGACAGTCTGGTCCCACATATGCAACATATGGAACACATTATGCCATCTGAACGTTTGATTTTGTATGAAAAAGTATACGTTAGAAAGACACTTATTGTATGCAACGCAATCACACGCGTCCGACGCAACGTCGATCTGCGGCGATCAAGGCCGTAGCCAGAAAATAATTCCGGGGGGGTTTATTTGGTGGAACAGTAGAAAAACATAAAATCGTTCCAATAAAAGAAATAAAATGGTGTTACTTATCATATATATTTATTAGAAAACCATTACAGAAATATTAACACCTTATTACAAAATTGAATTTAGTCTTCTGGCTTTCTTTGCAGCGAACAAATCAATTACTTCCTCGGTGTTGATGTTAATTCTGCGGTGGATTGACATTAAAGCCAAACCGTTTAGTCTTTCCTGACCTGTAGCGTTTCTCAAATAAGTTTTGAGGCGTTTCACCGAAGAGAAAGTCCTCTCAGGAGTATATGTAGAAACAGGCAGTGTCGCCAAGATCTTTAAAAGTTTGTGAATGTTTGGAAATAAGGCCTGGTTGCATTCTCCGAGAGCTTCAATAGCACATGTTGGTCGATCTAGTTCAGATTTTTCCACCCATTTTATCCGCCACATGTCTAATTCAGCTTTTACAAAGTCCCATTCCAAATATTTTTTATATTGTTTCTAAATAGTTTTCTTGATAATTTTGATTAATTTGTTCTTTGCAACACACAGACGGAATTAAAATGTTGAGAGATGATAATGTGGCTTTATGATTTTGGAATCTCGACTGAAGCTGATCAATGAAATCATCCAAAAGTGGAATCATTATAGTAATTCTAAAATAAGTTTCAGGATCTTTTGTGTTGTAGTTTGCCCTATGCTCTTGGCATGACGTTATTCGCGGAATTTTCATTTTCTCGTTTACAGTACTGAGCAAACTCTGTGCATTCTTGAAAAGTTCAACAATTTTGAATCAATATTTTGGCGAACATCTTCAATAGTCTTTATAATCCCGCTAGCTCAGAAAGAACAGCAAACAGGTTAAATCGAAATGTTGTAAAGCTGCTGCCAAATCGCATAGGGGAGATTGAAATATTTTGCATAGTGTCAGTGTGTACGGGAACAACATTACTAAGCAACATAAGCTTATAACAAAATCACTTGAAATGACTGATCGCAGAAAAGAATTAGCCTTTGACTATGTTTCAGAATCCATGCCAGTGCTTAACCTATCACTCACTGCGCCCGCCTTAACAAAAAACAGCTTTGTACCGAGGCGTCCGTCGTCACCTCAGCTGGCGGCACTTGTTTTAAATATTTATGTTTCTCACGACCTTTCATTTATGTTTAAAGAGGTTTTAGTTACAGTTATTTAAAGCCGATAAGATTTTCGATACGTAGAAACAATAACCATAACATATAAATGTTTATTTTATTTTGTACAGCTCTTTGTTTCTAACGGATCTTGATAAAGTGTACTTACTGACGATAAATTTTATTTTATGAATGAAATATCGTAAGTTTTTATTTTATTTTTATGTCCTTACAATCAATACAACATATTCTTCCTAAATGAACCGAAATTATGCATGTAATAATTATAATAATTCTACTTTTTCACTTGCAAACATTTGCTAAAAATTCGACAATAGACAGTTTGCGCGCGCTTACTAAACTCATTTTCAAAACCTTTTTGTGTATATATTTTATATCGTCTTCCTTTATTTTTCTTATACAATCATATAGATATAACATTTAGCAATTACTAGTAAAAGTATTTACTATGGTATTCCAATAAGAAATATACTATTATTATCTTATTAGAATCTTATTAGAAATCTTGACCGTTACGAATTGTTCGCGTAGAGGTTTTTTATTTCTACTTTTTTATCAATTGAAACATAAAAAGTTACTGTTGTTGTAACTTAAATCATTCAAAAACATTACGTAGTAAAGATAAATAACATTACTTACAGTTTTTTTGAAAGAAAATCCAACTAAAATCACAATCACAAAACTTCAACGACTACGCAACCAACCGCACCGGCACGCAAAAGCAAATGGCTGTTATATTTGATGATGTCTATGTAACCGAGTGAATATAATGCTACAAAATATTCTTTAGTTCGTTCAGAATCGAATGAAATAGTGTTCATTCGAAAATATACTGTATTTTTATATCAATTAATGACGAAAATAGCAGCACGTAATGCGGACATGTATACATGTCCTCTGTACTTAGCGGTCACAAAACTTGGACCTGTCAACATGTCCACGATATCTTAGGGGTTAAGTCGTCTAGTGTATCAACAATAGCTTTATTAATTTCTTTAAATCTTAACAACCCATCATGATTTTCTACCCAGCGGGTCTCGCACATTACCATAAGGTTTTTCCATTGTGTTTCAGAGAAGTTTTTTCGATATTATCTTTTAAACGATTCGTTTTTCCGAGGACTTATTAAAATTTCCAACTGATTTTATAATTCCAATAGTGTTTCGAATAGGCTGAACCTGGCAAGAATGACCCAAATCAAGGCTTTTGGATGTGACTCACGAATTACTGCCTGCATACCTTTAAAACTTCCTTTCATCGAAGAAGCTCCATCATATCCTTGTCCGAATAAATATTCGCAATCTATTCCCAAAGAGAATTCAGATAAAATTGCGTTAGCTAAATATCTTCTTTTTGTATTCTCAACTGTTACAAAAGTTAAAAAATCTTCACGCAGGATAAACCCATTAACTTTTGGTTCGGCATAATTTTCTTTTTTAGATTTGAGTCTCCACATCTGCTTCTCATCCGTAAGATAGCATGAAAGTTTCCATCATTTGTTTCTGGCTCAGCATCATTGATTTTTTATTGGACCAGAGTCGTACGTACCTCTCAGTGCCAATTCCTGACGTCCACATAATTTAATTGTTTCAATAATCAGAATGAGCCGTTTCCGATATTCACCTATTTGCGCTAGGTATCCGCTATGAATCTGACTTATTATATTTGGTTGAGATTTATTATACACCTTCATAAAATTATCTTATAAAAAAGACGATACATTTTTTTAATAAGATTAAATGTGTTGAGCGTTAAAAGTAAAATGTAGTTTTTTTGTATTTTTATCCCAGTGAGCCCAGTTACACTATAATAAACGCATGTATTTATATGTTTGCATTATTAATCATAAATTTTAACAGAATTATACCTAAACGCCCAAAACTCCGACTCGTTAGTCGGAGTTTTGGGCGTTAATATTTGGTAGTATACGGTTAATTAATTACGTTATAATTAAACGAATCCATAAATATGTAAAATATAATTTGTTACTCCCACAGAACATCGGAAGTTTGATATACGAAAGTACAGAAAAAGAATCGTTCGTTAACATTTTCCAGTTTTTTATTAGTGTATACTATTCTCCAAACCCAATATCTTCGCGTTTAATCTAAAAAGTCACGATTGAGTTAGTAAAAGAAATATTTTTTTTCCCCGTGAATATGTTCATTTATAAACATCAGACAAACTATATCATCATCAAATTCACTCCCAGAATCTGAAAACATTTCTATTCGTGCGTCCGCTGAAAAGTGACAGAAGTGTCTGACGCGAAACGTACGTTGCATATGTAGGTCAAGTGTGTACACCAACGAGCGTTGCATCGCATACGTTGCGTACGTGGGACCATTCGTTTCTTTAGTTTCAGTTTAATCTATTGTCATTTAAGACATGAACTAAATAAATATTCTAATTCTTATGAGTCTCACAGCAAGCAAATAGGGCCTGCTTTTTATGTTATCTTGATTTTAAGTTATAATGGTCAGCTCAAATTCGAATGCTGAAGACAATAGTAACAGGGGTTATAGTGTAGAATAACAATATATATATATATAAATACCAATACCTCATTACCTTCAAATCTTGAAATCGTGTACGACGTAAATGAGTAACGTCTCAAGATTCGTGTTCGCTAGTATATCTATTATCGTATATCTATTTTGTTTACAGAATTGATTCTAAGCGTAAATCGCAAGACAGTAGACCCGTCGCAGGTTTACGATAAATTCCTAGTATTCTCACTGAAACTCCTCGAGCTGACTGCCACACAAAAGACCTTTACTCTGGAGGCGACTGTCAGGCTGGGTGCTGTTAATATGCAGCATCATAGAACTGGCTTTAGCACCATAAACATGATAGAGACACCAGAAGTACAGAGTATTGAGAATGTGGACAGCACAGACAGTGCAGTCACAACAAACAAATATTTGTTTGCGGTCACTTATTGCAATGTAAGTGCTTGGTTTTTCTTATTTGTGTGTCATCGGTAAATCGCCTTCACTTAGAAAAAATATGTTTATAGCCTAACCAGCTATCTTTGTCATTGCTGAAAAAATATTTTTAAGCTAATATTTACATTAATTACGTATATTATTATACAATAAACACAATAATTATCATATTCTGACCAAAAAAATAAAAAATCTTGCTGTGTAGGCGCTTTGTCGGGACATGGCAACAAACATTTATATTGTACTAGCGTGCCAGGCAGACGTTGTCCTGCCCTTTTTGACGAAAATTTGTCATGTCCTTTTAAAAATCCTTAAATTCGAAAAAAATTGTGAGCAAAAAAACTATCCTATCTCTTAAGTTGGACCAAATTGCACACGGTGTGCAAATTTGATTAAAATTTTGTGAAATATTATTTGACTTTGTAGGTTGATAAGAAATGCCCTGAATTCCGAAGTTACTATGGATCGATTGAGCAACTGATTGAGCTAGATTTCACCACTTTAAGAGTTTTGCTGCATCTCCAAGGCTTGCAAGAAATACTCATTATTGTTAATGAATATCAGGTTAGTCTAAATTATTTTGTTGCAATTTCTTAATTGATAACAATAATATTATTTACTATACTACCACATGTTTCATTGCATTTACACAAGCTAGTGATACCAGTTTCTCGACTCCACAGAGTCGGTATTTCATTCTTCGGCCAAGGTGTACGCTATTACAACAAAGTCCAGAAAATATACAAGGTCTCTCTATTACCAAGTTTAAATATTTAGTTTTTTATACACTTTTTATTCAGTTTTTACAAAAATTGTATAAGAAGGGTTTTTATGATATAAATGAATACATGGTTGATAATAACCCCTGGGAATGAGGAGGTCGCTTCCAAGCTGTTTCTAAAATAAATTTTGTAAATGTTTTGTGACCATTGACGTAAAATTTATTTAAAAAAAGTCCCGCTGGGTTTCTGTTTTCAATTGTACTTGGTTCTTCCCGGACAAAGGTTTTTTTCGAACCAGTGGTAAAGTAAAAAAATGACTTTCAATGAGAATTACTTGTAATCTAATCTTGTAAATATTCTATTCTATTGCTTTTAAAAAATATTATAATACTTAAGATTTTAGAAAATCAAAGTAACATCTGACTTGTGAGTTTGGTTGTTACTTTTTATGGTTTTTCCGTAGACACGTTTGCAAGCTATCCAAAGCAAGGTGGACAGGTATGCAAATGCTGGTCCCTTAGAGACGATCATGGAAGATGAAGAATTCTCTGTTGCCAAATCTAAAGGTATGTATTTTAATTTATCACATAACTTTAACTATTTTTAAGTACTATGATTAATGATGCTATTTTGTGTATCCGTCATACAATTTTATAATGATGTATCATTATAAAATCGGATGGCGGAAACAACACTTTAACAATGTTTTCCTCACCTATCCTTTTTAGTTTGCTCTAATACAGGAGTTTTGTGTAGGTATAACTAGATTACATTTACGATAGGTAATGATGGTTTGACCTAAAAGGGAAATAATTGAATTTAAATAACATATTAATTATTAATTAAGTTTTAGTTACACACATTAAAATTCTATCTTTTTAACGTTTTACAGCTAGCATTTCAAAACCAGCACGTCGTAAACAAGTGGAGAGTATACAATTGAAAATAAATGTTAAGATTGGAGCAGTAGAGATTGGATTCGAAACGGATAGGCGGCCGATATCCATTGTGAAATTACAAGGTGCCAAAGCAGGCCTCATATTAAAGAGTTCTTACACGCAAGTTGATTGTACGATCGCCTCCATTAAAGTGGAGGATCTCAATCCGGAAACTGTTCATAAGGAGGTGCGTATTCCTGTTTCTGACATTGTAAGATACTTTTGCTTTGAAATATTATTTCATGTCATTGCGTAATATTTAAGAAAAGATGTATGTTTATTCAGACCTGAAAAGTTGTCTTTTGTAAAAACTTGCTCTTCACGTGTTTTTTTTTTAATATTGCCACCACACAAATTGTATGTTTTTTTGCTATTTCAGTTATTGGTTATACGTTTTAACATAACAAATATGTAAAACAAACAGTTTATTGTTATTTTTTCTATACAGATCCTAAAAGTGCTTGGTGGAGATGTTATGAATGTGCAAATAGTGATGTACAATTTGGACCAGTATCCGAGCGTGAGCGATGTTAATATGTCGATAGAGGCACAAATAAACTGTTTACGTATAGTTTTTCTTAATTGGTTCGTGACATCAATGTTGGTGAGTAATATATTTTAGTTCCCTCCAGATTAGTTTATAAGAAGAACAAAAATTTGAACAAGAGTGAGTGGGAGAGAGAGAGAGAGAGAGATAGAGAGGAGAGAGAGAGAGAGAGAAGAGAGAGAGAGAGAGAAGAGAGAGAGAGAGAGAGAGAGAGAGAAGTAGAAAAAAGAATGTAGTTTTTATGTAACATACAAAGTGTAATGAGTTCAATCGAAGCTAGCATACATTTATTCCTATTGTTTAATGCTGCATATGAGAACATACCGTTACCATTACTGTTACAGCCAATAAAAAGGCTACTGCTGAAATTAGCCCTTCCTAAGGATTTCCTTTTGTCGCTTACGATACCCTCGAAACGATGTGAGATAAGGTATTAATACACAATATTTTTACATCGCCTCTACATAATCTTGAACACACCACGGTCAGGTCATTGAGAGCAGTGTATGTCGGATGACTAAAATGTTTTAACTGGCATTTCGCACAGCTTTCACATAAAATTACTAAGAAATTGGGCATCGCACTTCTTTTTATTGATGAATGGAGCTCATATAATATTCCAAATGCCAAGAATAAGAGTACTCTCACGTGCTAACTCTGTATAGTTTATGGGAAAACAGTATCGAACTTGACCCTTTGTACACTAGGGAAAACAGAAAAGTTGATATGTTTTACTCTAAACTTATGACGTACTTATTTTGTAATGTTTACTAAAAACTTACGGAAAACACATTTTGTTCAAGGAATAAAGTGATTTAATTTAGTGGTGGGTACCTAAATTTTATTTATTATTTAACTATAGCCTGCCGTATCAACGTACGAAAAAGTTTTGAGTTTGGTATTAACAATAAAAATAGATAAGGATTTACCGAAATTTAAGGTATCTAACGATGGTTTATTTATGGATTGTACACTGTTATGTCGGTTAGAAATGGTGACCCAGTTACAATTCAAGATATAAATATAATTATGTCGAATGAAATTGTAGGTGACATCCACATAGAACAGAGTTCTTTTAGAAGAATTTATGAGTGCAGAAAATGAGTTGTATCCTTATAAAAGTGGTTTATAAATTAAAGTCTGTATTATGGGCTCTAAAGTAAACTTGGAATTCTTAGTCAGAATATGAAAGCTCTATTATATAACTTTAAGTATTTTGTAACACTTGAATTTGATTTGATCATTAATCTGTAAAGAAGCTGTTTTTATATGCTGTCACTCGCTTATTACAGTTGTAAGGCGTACATTACACGCTCATGCAGGCGTCAATCAATTCCATCAATCATGATTGATAAAAAACGGATGGTGACTGATAGGCGTACATTACGCGCTCATGCAGGTGTCAATACCTGCATTACACGGTAAGTTATTCGTCAATCACAACCGTGATTGTTGTAAAACTGACAGCCTGCATGAGCGTGTAATGTACGCCTAAGTGTTATTATAGCGTCAATCAAATCTTATTTCTGAACAATGGTGTATGCAAATTGTCTTCTAAAACTTATTTTTATGGCGTAATTCTACACTCTTGTAAATTTTACAATAGTTTTATTGATCTATAAGGGTGATATAAAACTAAAAAATAAATAACAGCCATGGTACAATTAAAGCTGTGTAAGTGATAGAATATCATCATTTTGCATGCGTTGCGTGTTTATATTGTGCTAATGAACGAAATTAAATTGTTATCAATATGTTGAAAAAGGAAAAAGATTTTGTACAGGTCCAACATTGTTCCCAAGGCAAGGTTTTTAATTTTTTATACCTATTCCTAAAGAGAGGTATATGTTATTTTGAGAAAACTGCTATACAGCGTAAGTAATAAAAATATTCTGTTAAAATTACTGATTAAAAACCAGTGGCTAGATAGAATCCATACATACTCAATACAGCTACTAAAACTATAAGACCCTCGAAATACCGTTTAGGCTGTTTAGCAAGGTTTGTAGGATCGTATTTCAATTAAATATCGTTAGTATTTCAATTAAGCAATAGTATCTAAGAAGGAACTATGATATAAAAATTGAATATATAGTAAATTCACGTTCTTGCGGTGAGGGGACAACAAATTCATTCCGTAATCCCAAAATAATATAGCTTTCAATGTTTCAATAAAAAATTAGTGCACATCTTCATAATCGCTTTATTAAAACGACATGCTACATAAATACACCAAGGAACTATAAAAATCTAAAATAAAATCAAATCATAATCGATAGTAACTATAATCGAGTATTTACGTAGTTTTAAAAGCACATCATGTGGTGGAGCCACGTGTTTAAGGCTGCCGAAAATCTAGTTCCCCGGTCAAACCTCAAACCTATTACGCGAGATATTAACTAAAGTGGACTGTATATGCGATTGCTTCTACGCTTACGTTAAAAGCGACTACTATAGCATGCGGTACAATGCACTCGCTCTTCCCTAAACTAAACTATTACTTGTCGAATCGATGAAAGGAATCCTGCTTGACTAGGAAAAAAAAACACAGATTGGAGCGGGTTAAATTATTAGCAAGCAGGTATAATTAAGGAGTATTGACTCACCGGGGTTTCTTCTTCCTGTCGATCACTATAGCGGCGACTTCCGGAACCTCCTCTGGACAGACACTTCTGGGGCCCCAGTGGTGCGTCAGGAGAGAAGCGTTGGTTCAACGACGACTGCGGCGGGAGAAGAGAGCGCGCGTCGGTCGCGCGTGTCTTATATATCCTCGGGTCCGATGATTACGCGATGTTCTAGAATCGTCTTCTTTCCCCTCCCACCCCACCACCCCGATGTGTCGATAGGAGGGTACGAATGATATTGTTTCGGAAGGGAATAATGATTCGACAAGTTCCTACCGTCAAAAATAAAAAAAACGCGAATCGTTTTCCGCGCAACCATCTCCCCCCGCCCTTGAAGGATTTCCTTCAAAAAAAATAACTAAACAACTAGAGCTAAGATCGACTAACAAATAACTAACTAACGCTAAGATTACCTAAATTAAACTACAATTTCAGTCTAGAAAGCTAATTTAAATTATGGAAGAGGCAAGGGGCACAAACGGATAACAGGACGTAGGTAAGACCCAACCGTGGTCTTAACGCGAGCTATCCTAATTACTCCGTCGGAACCGGGAAAGACCTCCTCGACGATTCCTAACGGCCAGTGGAGAGGCGGCGTATTCTCCTTAGTGAGCACAACTACGGTTCCTACAGCTAAAGGCTCTGTCGCTGTGTTCCATTTTTGCCGAGACTGCAAAGTATGCAAGTATTCCATCCTCCATCGTTTCCAAAACGATTGCACTAACCGATCTAATAATTTATGGCGTGTGGAAATGCTAAGTCTGTTCTCATCCACATCCGCGGCGGGCAGATACCTTAGAGGCGTTAAAGTCAAAAAATGTGCTGGAGTTAGAGCCAGCGGTTCCGAGGGGTCACTAGATAACGTCCGACAAAGTGGGCGGCTATTCATTACGCATTCAATTTGAGCGAGCACCGTACTTAGCTCTTCGAAGGACAAAATTTGATCTCCTATTACTCGGTATAAGTGGCTCTTTAGACTTTTAATATTAGTCTCCCAATTGCCCCCAAAATGACTCGCGGCTGGGACGTTCAGAGACCACTCAATGCGGTTCTCGGCTAGAATGTGAGCGAACTCCGAATTATAATACTTGCTAGCTAAGAGCTCGTGTAGTTCCGATAGAATACGTTTTGCACCGACGTAGTTCGTACCGTTATCCGAATATAATTTACTTACAGGGCCTCTGCGCGATAGAAATCTTTTAAATGCACCCATAAAGCCTGCTGTGCTTAGATCACCAACGAGTTCTATATGCACTGCTCGAGTAGTTAGACATACGAAAATGCAGACGTAAGCCTTTGTGGATCTTATACCACGCCCGCGAGTGAGCGTGACCTTAAACGGACCAGCAAAATCAGACCCGGTGTGCGTGAAGGGCTTTACCGATTGTATCACTCTACAAGATCTAAGTTCCGCCATTTCCGGAAATGACGGCTTGGGGCGTGCCCGAAAGCAAGCTATACATCTGTGCACCCGATTGCGTATTAAACTACGTGCAGAAAGAATCCAATAATTCTGACGCAAGATCGACATCAATAAATCGGGGCCAGCGTGCGAGTTCAATTTATGATGATAATCGACTAATAAGTTCATGATATGGTCTTTACGCGGTAAAACTATAGGGTGCCGTTGGTCGAAACTCAATTGCGAGTTGGACAAGCGTCCACCTACCCTTACAATCCCATCCTGTAAAAATGGCTTAAGGCGTTGAAAGGCGCGACTACAAGCTCTATTCGATTGTAATCTTGTAATTTCTTCAGAGAAGTGCGCACGTTGAAGTTCACGTAATACTAGCGACTCGGCATAGTTGTAATCGGATGCTAAGACATACGGACGTCGCGGTAAAAGCTTCGCGAATCGACAAACGTAAATTACGCTACGCAATAATTTCGACCAAGAGGACAAGCGGTTCGCCAGAGCAATGATTGGAGAAACCTCGCTCGAAACGTTCGCCACTAGAGCGTGTCTCTTCTCTTCCGGCGGTTGTGACACTGACGAAGGTTCGAAATCGGTTATTGGCCATTGTGAGGGATCCAAGTGAACCCAAGAAAGTCCATGGAACCAAAGCGGGTGGTCCATTATTTGCATCGGGGTGAGTCCCCGGGATAGACAATCGGCAGGGTTTTCCTTACCGGACACGTGATAAAAGTTCCGCGTTTCTAACTCGTCTTGGATCTTGGCCACTCGGTTCGCGACAAACGTATCCCAACGGTGGGGTGAAGAATGAACCCAACATAAGGCGACGGTGGAGTCGGAAAAGGCAAATATTCTTTCTATGTGAACTCTATCCCTACATGCGCCGATAACTGTGGTAATAAGCTTGGTGAGTACTAATATTGCGCAAAGCTCTAAGCGCGCCAGAGAGACAACCTTACGGGGGGAGACTCTCGACTTAGAACTAATGAGGCTAATCGAATTTCTACCATTATTCTGGA